TAGGTCCATAAGAGGATCGTGATGATCATGCTTACCGTCATTATGATCATCATAATCATCATCGTCATCATCATCATTCGTCATCATAATGTAATAAAGGAAAAGTCGATCGAAATTAATAAACAGTAGCTAAAAACCGCGCGTTATAAAGAAAGTGATTAAGAAAGTAATTAAGAATGTAAACCGCTCGTTACCTCAGGGACCACAATGTAGAAAAGCGAAAGCAACAACTAGGCTTGTATGTAGACCGAGCCTCGTAAAACAATTAAGCTTAACATTACGGCTACGCACAGGCACGTGGAACGGTCAGGGTGACCGGTACGGTCAATAGGCGGAGCTTAAGTAAAGCCACGTCACATAGCAGGCTAATGACCGTTAAAATTAGAATAAATAGAAAGAGAGTTTCGGATAGAAGGCAGTTCCACCGAGGGTCTTGGTCTGTAAGTATAAATAGGCTTGTCTTACCGTATTCATGTTTTATCGTATTGCTGTGTTTTTTCTTTACACTCTTTTAAGCATAGTACTTTTTTGTGATAAACTCCTTTGCTATCGTATACATAAACTCTGTTGGTAATTATATGACTAACACGTAGTGCATTGTATTTGTGTGACTAACTATAGCTATCTAATTGCGCTGTGTAGCGTGCACTGTTGTTGTTTACTAACTCGACGAACCCTGTATTATTGACTATAGTTTTGGTGATAAAGAAATAGAGATATATATATTGTTGTACGTACATTTCGTGTCTGTCTATTATTTTATGCTCACCTCAGTATACATTAATTAATGTACCCGTACCATAGCAGAACCTAGGGTTACGGTATACACTATACGTCGACACGAGCCACTCACAAGGGTACACGTATATGAACGAAACACTTCATTGCAATCATCGTCTTCGTCATCGTCATCATCAGGATTATTATCATCATCGTCATCACCATCGTCATCTTCATCGTCATCACCATCATCATCGTCATTATCATCGTCGTCATTATCATCATCATCATCATCATCATTATCTTTATCGACATCATCATCGTCCTTGTCAACCTTGGACAATATAGT